AAAGCGCACCGCTACTTCTACCCTTGTTTGGACTCAGCCAACGCGTTGTAACCTGTCCTGTGTGTAGAACAAATCGACGTTCACAGTAGCATCACACCTGAAGGCAATATTCTAATATTCGTCGAACAAATGTTGCAAACACTCATGAAACAGGTTCTTTGTCAAATGGAAGAAAGGTCTCTTTATTGCTTCCGAGATACCTATGGCCTTCTTTGATGACTTGGCACAGTAAAACGACGGTTTCATTGCATGATTACAAATGTTAGCAGCCTCCTGTTGTGGAGTCCCAATCAGATGACTGAATACTTGTTGAAATCGAGGTTATGAAACCGCTTTTGCGACTGGTTTAAGTTATTTCGCGGTTATAACGCATCTTCCAGCACTTTTATGGATTTTCACAACTTTCGCTCACCGGCGAACATAAAATTTTCACAAGCCGTACAATGGCAACGGTCGTTCACGCGTATTGAAAACGGAGGGTCAAGGACCTTCTGATGTGGGATGCCAATGTGAACGGTTGTCAACTCCGATTTGGCGTCACCAATACAAGCCCTTTGATACATACCTGTATGAAATTTTGTCAGCCATTTCAATAGATTTTCGTTGACGTTTAGTTGAATTAATATGAATATCAGACTTATGTGTGTCACACCATCAAAAACCTTGCTGAAACAAATGTATACTGCGTCTGCTGATCAAACCATTTCAAAATATTTTCTTCAGCGCTCAAGTAAGTGAGAAGATTTGGAGTAACCCAACTCCAAGTGCATGCGTATTTGCGGCTGCTAGCAAGTTCGCGAGCAACAGTAACTGCCTACTCCAGTCTAACCTATCATCTTCAAGGACGACTCACACAGAACCTCGTGGTGACGACTGCCACGACACACACTTCAGATACCGGTCCCCTCACTGGTGGTCGTTCATTCGTCCGACTGTCAACTCCTCCAAACCATTGTCCGTTACCTCTGTACAGAATGCACCATTCCTTACACTTGACGCCGCAGTTCTTACCTCCAAGGAACCGGATGTGAAAGTCGCAGTGGCAGGGGTTTTCCCTGTTAACTTAACCCACTGCGATATTAGTGACCACGACATGAGATCGCAACTTCTAGATGTGCCTGAGCGCTATCATCATCAACCACTCTCAGTCCAGGCCCGTGTTTCTAAGCCAGCAGGGCAGTCCCTCTATGAGAACGGTATCATGACCTCCGTTCCGACATCTGATCTTACTTCTATTGCCAACAGTATCTCTCGGCCCTCAACTCAACCAATACTGACACGGGTTCTCTTTTTTCACCCGAACTCCGGTCTGGGAAGGGAGCACCTGTAGTGATTCATCTCCAAGTGCACGTGTCGCAAGTAGTAGTGTCGACAAACAGAAGGTTCCCGAAATCACATGTCAAGCAAGACGGTGTCGGCGGACAGAAGTTTACTGCCGGAAAACAGACAGTACAAAAGCCGAGTTATCGCTAGAACTAACTCCATGTGCACGCCCATTCCGTACGCCAAATTGTGTTGGCTGCTGTCTAGCTTTGCCTGCTGAACGTTCTTATTGAACCGGGCAGCTAGCCAGGTGGACAGGCGCGCGTCAATTGGCCGGCGCCTTGAGCTACGAGCCGACGGGGTAAGCATAGGGCCACTGGGAGATCGCGGCCTCTCGCAGCGGTTGACAGCGGGGGAGTTTGTCACGCGCTAGTAGATAGCTAGCGTGACAAAGGAAGGCAGCGTGAATCAGCACAGCGGCAGGCTCCCACGCACGTACATGTGCGGCTGCTAGCAAGTGCGCAAGCAGCGGCGACTGTGTACCCCGGTCTGGCCAATCATCTTCAAGACTGACTCAAAAAATACCCCATGGTGACGACTGTGACGCTAACACACCTCGGACACCGTCCCTCTCGCAGGGTGTGCACTCGTCCGACTGCTAACTTTCTCCAAACTATTTTCCAATACCTCTATACGGAGTACACCATGCCTAAAGATTCGGGGTCCTGGTAAGTTATCGCGTTCATCGTCTCCCAAAGAAGAGAAAGAAGGAAAGGGGGCGAGTTCGTGGACCAAAGTGTATTTTAACTGACGTTTCGGAACCCTTCTCGCTTCCATCGTCAGATTATTTTAGTTGCTGCCAATACAATACTCTGACGATGAAAGCGAGAATGGTTCTGAAACGTCAGTTCAAATACACGTTCGTCCACGAAACCGCCCCTTTCCTTCTTCCTCTCCTTTGCGAAATGATGAACGCTAGAATACATTATTTATTCCCACCGCCGTCTAGCTTCTTCTCTTCCCACGCGGAACCGGGCCTGAAGATCGCAGCGGCAAGGATTTTCCCTAGTAACTTAACTTACTGCGATACATCCTCCGCTTCTAAACTCATGCTGTTGCACACTTAGCACTCTTTTTCCCAAGATGCTTCGTTAACTCCGGTTAGTTATTTTCTTAATTAGTTGGCAACCAGTGCTAGTGACGCTCAGTAGTATTTGTTTGGATTCTCCCGCCCCATTATGTAGGGACCTTACAGTATATGTGCTATCCAAGGAAAGGTTGAAAGATGAATTATCTGACGGCATAATCAATCAACGCATTTCAGTCATGCCAGGATGTCGGCGTTTAAATAAGCTTCCTTCCGACTGCCTGCCTGCAGAAACCCCGATCGATGAAAAAAGAACTACTGAAGTAGCATACTTTTCCATATTGTTTTCCAACGTCCGCGGAAATTAAAATATAGTTAATAGAAGACAAACACCAAAATACTATTTCTTGTAATGACTTGGTAGAGAATTACCTCTTCTAATTTTATACTCAACGACAGAGTAGTTTTTGATAGAAAAGTTTCTAATTATGGCACTTTTTAAACCGTACAAAATCCATTCATAAAGCACGTAACTGTCCCTTTATTGAAATTATAAATTTATAAAACCGTTAACAATCAATAATTGAATACATTCTACTTACTTAGTCATTTTTAAAATTTATTTTTTATGAACGGCCGAAAAATATCCTCGTTCAAAGTCAGCAGCCTGATAAGACCGACATATCGGGGGAATGTGCTGTACGGTAATTGATCCTAAAAACTATTGGTAGGGTTTTCTTGTGAGACTGACTTTGTATATGATTAATAATAAGGAACTGCCTCCGCATTTTCAGGGGGTCAAATGTCCGCCTATTCCAACACTTCACTGGTTATGTTAACGGCAAAAGTAGCTTATGTAGCCCGACTCATTTACCCCTAGTCCGTCCATTTTGTCCTGCAAAAACAGTGGTTAGAGTTTTGTGGGGTGGGGAAATAGGATAGGCAGAAAAGGAAATTTTTAGA